AAGGCATATGCAGTATTAGGATCCTTAAAAGAATCACAACAATTCAATTTTATAAAAAAATAAAATGAACATATAATACTCGTTACGATTGTAATGGAGCCTGTGCGTCAAGGTAATTAGTGACAGCAATAGAACAGGTTGGTCACGTGACCAACATTATTTTACAACCTTTTTTATGATAATCATTAAGCAAACCAATAGAAATAAATGCCAGTTTTCAGCAGAACCAATGTAAAACACAGAATGCTGCAAATGGTCATAAATATGGCCCACTTGTTGAGCACCCTAATAATGAATAAGAGTGAATTCCTGGAACTGAAGTTCATACTGTTGATGTAATATACTTAGATTTCAATAAGGCATTTGACAATGTAGACCAAAACCTACTTCTTGGTAAGCTAGAAAAAGGAGGAATAGACAACCTCATCACCAAATGGATTTGCAGCTAGTTGACAAACTGTACTCAATGAGTAGTCCTCAATGGTACTACTGTACATCCACAAGGAGAGAAGTAAGCAGTGGGGTATCAGAAGGTACCGTCTTTGACCCAGTACTCTTCAATATCTTCATAAATGACTTAGATGAGGCAATAGAAGGGGAACTCATAGATTTGCAGATGACACTAAGCTGACAGGAATAGCCAGTGCCCCAGAAGACAAACTTAGGATCCAAAAAGAACTTGACAAATTTGAACAATGGGCCCTATCCAATGAAATGAATTTTAATGTGGGGAAAAACAAAGTTTTACATTTAGGCAGGAAAAATCAAAGGTATAAGTACAGATTAGGCAAGACCTGGCTCAAAAACAGTAACTATAAGAGGGACCTTGGAGTCCTAGTGAATGATCACTTGAATATGAGCCAGCAGTGTGCAGCAGCAGCCAAAAAAGCTAATACAATCCTGGGTTGTATAAACAGAGGCATAGAATCAAGATCACGCGAAGTATTAGTACCACTTTATAAAACCCTAGTAAGACCAGACCTGGAATACTGCAACCAATTTTGGTCACCATACTAAAAAAAAGATGTTGAGTCTTGGGGGGGGGGGGAATTCAGAGAAAAGCAACTAAAATGATCAAAGGCCTGGAGACTAAAACATGTGAAGTATGGCTGCAGGAATTGGGTTTGGCTAGTTTAAAGAAAAGAAGAAATAGGGTGACATGATAGCAATATTTCAGTATTTGAGAGGCTGCCATAAAGAAGAGGGGATCAAATTATTCTCGAAAGCACCAGAAGGCAGGACAAGAAACAATGGTTGAAACTGATCAAAAAGAGAAGCAACCTGGAATTAAGGAGAAACTTCCTAACAATGAGGACAGTTAATCAGTGGAACAGCTTGCCTTCAGAAATTGTGGGCGAGCCATCACTGGAAATTTTTAAGAGGAGACTAGACAGTCACTTGTCTGAAATGGTATAGATCAATGGTGGCGAACATATGGCATGCATGCCAGAGGTGGCACTTGGAGCCCTCTCTATGGGCACACATGCTGTTGCCCCAGCCTTGCCTCCCCCACAACCCCCTCCTCACCAGCAGCCCCCCTGGAGGAGAGTCGCCCCCGAGCATGGCCCATGCAAAGCAGTGCAGCCAAGGACATGGCAGCCAGGTAGCGCAGACAAGACTCTGCTCTCACACCTCATCGCGCACAGTTGATGCTGCGGGGGTGGGCAGCGAGCGTGGCCGCCATGGTGCTGCTGGGCTGCCTGGGCGATCTGCGGCAGGCCCTGGAGGCAGTGAGTGGCCCTGCAGGCAGGCGGGCCGGGGGATGGAGGCGGAGCAGGGCCAGAGCAGGGCGAGGGGTAGAATGGGGGCGGGGCCAGGTTTTGGGCACTCGGTCTCTAAAAGGTTCGCCATCACTGGTATAGGTCCTCCTGCTTGAGCAGGGGCTGGACTAGAAGACCTCCATGGTCCCTTCCAGCTCTATCAGCAGCCAGACTCATGAGGATTCAGAAAATGGCTTTATATACAACTATCTATAAGCTCCTTCAGAACTAGGGAAGAGACCTACTATCAGTTCATAGAAAGGCAGTAAAAATAAAAAGGAAAAATGAGGAAGTTTCTTCTCTAATGTATTGTGATATACTGGTTGTAGATAGGAAATAGTTCAGTTGCCAGAATTATTTGTAAACCCATCCTTTTCTACTTAATAAGTCTTGGTAAAGAGACACTAAGAATCATGCTTGCAATAGGAATTACTTTTGGTTTTAGGCGGATGCCAAGGAAGTGACACCCTTGTTGGAGAAGGCTGCTTCAGAGAGTAAAAGCTCATCCATCCTTTTTCCTATTAAGTCCAGATAAGAAAGAGGCAGAACCAAACACAACGCAAGCTTGTCTGTTGATTCTCCAGTTCTATGTTTTACGCCAGTTTCCCTCTTTAGATGTCATTTTACAAATGTGCTGGGATCGTAACTCCTAAACTTAAATCTTCCTTTTAGAAATGGCAGGAGTTTCAGTCCAAGGACTTCTGGAAAACACCTGGTTGGGGAAGGCATCTGTAAGCTGCTGCCAAGTCATACCTGGGAATAGGTCCTATTGAATTAAGTAGGAGTAGTCACATGTCTGGCATTATCAGGCCCAGCAGAGATGTTATACTGTATTCTTTTGGCTTTCTGCACTGTCTGTGTTTGGTTGCATTCTGGCTTTCCAAACCAATGGAAGATGGGCTGTGGGTACGTAAGAAAGATTTCCTAAAACTGTTTTTAGAATAGAATATCTTTATTGTCATTGTGTAAACTCACAACGAAATTAAGTTTTTAAGTTTTGTCCCCTAAATAATCTTTATACTAACTAGGAAGTCACTTCCAAAAATCATGACTCTTGTTTTCTCCGTATACCATCCCACCAAAAGGTGGCTCATACGCCTCTGAAGCTAGATGCCTTTGTTTCACTATAACTTCACTTTTGTGATATTTTGCTAGCTCAGGCATTTTATGAATGTAAGTGAAAATAGTGCCAAATGTGCCAGCTTTAATGGGCTTCTGCATGCAACAGAAGGCTTCTTTTGGCAGATCTCAGCTGTGTGCATATCAGGAGCTCCTGTAATACGGCGTGCCAAGAGGTAGCCAGACACTAGTGCAGATTGAACTACTTAGCTGAGGTTTCCCTCTTCCCTGTCTCGTCCAATCTCTTGTTTTCATTTGTTATGTTTAAGCATCCCATATGTTATCACTATGAGGCTCTGGCTGGTGCTTTTCTCTTTCTTTAAAGTTGCAGTTGAAAAAGGTAAGCAACAGCTGTATAAGCTCAGTTAAAATGGTGCCTCTGATTATTACACAGAATATGCAGTATGCAAAAAGCCTGAATGGGGTTTAAAATAACAGTTTAAAAAATAGTCAGGTAATGCAAAGAAGTCTTCAGTATTGGACCCAATAGATCTAATTGCTTGGATACCTAAAAATGTGGTGCAAATTTAGAATTATCTGCATCTGCCAGTCTCCTTTATGCAAATTCCTTGATATATTATGCTACTTGTTATGAATTTGGCCATCGATAGTTGAAAACCTGCAAGAGAGATGAAACAGAGGTTCAAATTACTGCAATGCCTGAAGCTGGGCTTTTGTAGATAAAATACAGATTCTGTTGTTTTAAACTGATTTTTTTGTCTTTCTGTCTTTTCCATTAAAAAGTTTTCTATGACATTATTGGCAATTTGAAGCAGCATTCTTAAAAGCCTCAATGAAATGCTCTAGGTCATGTAAAATAATGAGACATTCCCTAAGCGCACCTCTCTCCAAATAGCCCTCGACTTACGACCACAATTTCTGTCGTTAAGTGAGACAGATGTTAAATGAGTTTGCCCCATTTTGCTGCCTTTCTTGTCACCGTTGTTAAGTAATCACTGCAGTTGTTAAGTTAGTAACATGGTTGTTAAATGAATTTGGCTTCCCCATTGACTTTGCTTGTCAAAAGGTCACAAAAGGGGATCACATGACTCCAGGACACTATGACCGTCAAAAATATGAGCCAGTTGCGACCTACAACCTAAATGTTGGAGATGTGGCTGTATGGATGCCACCTATTATCACATCTGGTGGTCGTGCAGAGATATAAAAGCCTTTTGGATTAAGATATGGTGGAATATTCAGAGAATTTTTAGAAGGAGGGTAAAATTTACTCCACAATTATTTTTGTTAGGTATAATTACTGATTGTGATACAAAGGAGGTTATATTGATGTTAAATTTGATCACAGCCGCAAGGCTGTTAGTAGGACAATATTGGAAGAAGGAATCTTTGCCTACTTTGCAGGAATGGTTCCTTAAAGTGTCTCATTTGACGGAAATGGCAAAGATTTCGGCTTTCTTAAAAGAACAATCGCAAGAGAAATTTCTTGCTGTTTGGGATAAATGGATAAAGTTTATACAATTTAAACTGGATATAAAAAAATATCACTTAGCTTTTTTATAACTCTTATTTTTATATATATGCATACATCTTAGTGTTATATTCTCTTTTTTTATATAACTTTTTTAATTCTTTTTTAACTAAGCCTATATTCTGCTCTGGGAAGCTCCGGGGGGGGGAGGGAGTGGGTGTTTTGGGGGGGGTTGGGGAAGGGTTGTTTTGTTTTGTTAGTTTTTTGTTTATATTGTTCTTGTATTGTTATTTTTTCGTTTTTCTGTAAAATTTATAAAAAATTTTAATAAAAAAAAAATATGAGCCAGTTGCCAAATGTCTGAATCTTGATCACGTGATCATGGGGATGTTGCAACCGTTGTAAGTGTGAAAAACGGTCATAAGTCACTTTTTTCAATGTCGTAACTTCAAATGGTCACTAAACAAATGGTTGTAAGTCAAGAACTACCTGTATTGGTCCAATATTATATTACACAAAAAAATAGAAAATGAATGCATCCTAATGTGGGTAGGTAAGGAGAGATTAAAACTTAGCCCTATCACTGGTTTTCTCCTTCAGTTAGACTGCCTTTTGTATAAAACATTAATAAATTCCTAGTTGTTGATGTATATGGTACTCAGCAAGAACTTTTTATATTCCCTTTACAGCTACATGGTTACTTAGAAAGTGAACCACTCACGCTACAGCTGTTCATTGGGACTGCAGATGACCGCCTGCTGCGGCCCCATGCCTTCTACCAAGTTCATCGGATTACAGGGAAGACTGTTTCCACAACCAGCCATGAAACCATACTTTCCAACACCAAAGTCTTGGAAATTCCACTTTTACCTGAAAACAACATGAAAGCAATGTAAGCCCTACCTTCTTTTTATGTCCCGTCTTATAATTTTATTAAATTTTACATGTAAAAGACAATATAAATTAACAATCAAAAGAAAAGGTGTATAAAGTAAGAACAGAATAAGGATAGACGTGCAAAAAGGTATAAAGAAAAAGAAAGGAGAGCAACAGTATAAACAAAGAATGACTTCCAACTTCCAAGAATATAAGGCATGCTAAGATTTGGCTCTGTGATACGATGTCCATTTTCCTCAAAAAAAAAAAAAAAAAAAAAAAAAAAAAGGAAAGAGAAAAAAATGTTTTTAAATTTTATCAATCTTTAAATGCATATATCAAAATTTGATTTTTCTCATCTCCTGCAAAAGTTCACAAAGGACTTCCAATTATAGATCAATTTCTTCAGTGTGTTTTCCTTTCACAAGGGTCGCTAACTTAGCCATTATTGCCAATTCTTTCATCTTTATTAACCATTCCTCTATCTTAGGTAGCGTAGGATCTTTCCAGTGCTGAGCATTTAAAAGTTGTGCTGCTGTTTTTGTATATAATAATAAAACACCATGTGATTTTTCCAATGTTTTATCCATAAGCCCTCACAAAAAAGTTTTTGATCTAAGTTGTACATTAATTTTTTGAAGATTTTTTTGAATTATATTACTAATTTTACTCCAATATTGCTTAGCTTTTTTGCAAATCTACCAAAGGTGGTAAAAGATTCTTATTTGAGTTTTACATCTATAGCTACTATTCCTGTAGACATTTTAGCCAATTTATTTGGGGATAAGTACCATCTATACATAATTTTGTAAAAGTTCTCTTTGAGGTTAATTCAGTCCCTTCATCCACATGTTTTCCCACTGATCAATTGAGAAACTTCTATTTTTATGTCAAGGAATCTCGTAGGGTTCTGTTTATCTTATTTTTTTAAATTAAATTTTACATTTTTTCCAGCTGCAGAATTTTGTCCAAAATCTTTTTACTGGTTTTTCAGTGTTGAATAAAATGTATAAATATTTTATTCAACACTGAAAAACACTGGTTGTTGTTCTCTCTCTCTCTCTCTCTCTCTCTCTCTCTCTCTCTCTCTCTCTCTCTCTCTCTCTCTCTCTCTCTTTCTCTCTCCCTCCCTCTCCTCTCCCCCTCCCTCCCTCCTCTCCCTCCCTCCCTCCCTCCCTCCCTCCCCCCCTCTCTCTCTCTCTCTCTCTCTCTCTCTCTCTCACACACACACACACACACACACACATACACACCAACTGCTTCCTTGCCATTTAAAATCAGCATATCGGTTACAGAGCTGTAAATATCTCCTACCTCAGCTCCTGTTTTGGGTACTTAACCTGACACCATCTTATTCCTGCAATCTATTCCACAGAAAACAAGTTTGCTAGCACTCCCACAAAGAAAAGAGAGACTGAATGTTTTTCTGTTAAAAGAAAAAATAACCAAAGGTGGGGCAGGGGGTTTGAAGCTGCAACTAAATGAGACACACAAGTATTAGGGGAAAAATATACAAAATCTTCTTGTGGAATTTTTAGCCTTCAGACAGTATTAAGAATGAAGAACTCATCTATTTAATTCATAAAGAATGGTTCTGCCCAAGTGAATTGTGTGCAAGTAGAGCCAAAATGGAAATAAATACAAACATTTCAAATAAATAATTGTATAGGTTATGATAATTTTCCTAGCCCCAAATTATCTCACTTGAAAAAAGGCAATGTGGCAGATAGTTATACAATCAAGACCTCGCTCCTTTTTTCTGTTGCCATTGTGCCCTCGGGTATTGTTAAAAATTGGTTTGTGTGTATTTAGTGTGTATTTTAAATAACATCTGCAAATGTTTTGTAATATTAAATGGCATATGGAGCTGGAGGGCAGGGAGCTAGAATAATAGCAAGGCACATTGTCACAGAAAGTGATCAAGAAAAAAACCTCTAGGTACTTATAAAGTGATACCACATGGAAGCTATAATCAGAAACATATTTATCCGGCAATCAGACCCAATAAAATGGAAAAACTTGCTTTTGAAAATTGACATACAATTTTAAAATGAACAAAGCAAGCAAATAAATCTGAATTAACCTGCCTAAGATTGCATTTTATGAGTGGCAAGAATATGGCTATATTTGAGCTAACTATTGACACTCTTACAAAGCAAAATGTGTAAGATAGCATTTAGATATGAACTGTCTAAACAAGATAATGCATATTAAGAAAAATGGTTTTCCCTTGTAGCTTCACTGCAGGATCAGCTTCTTAAACATAATTATTATGTATTATTATCAAAATCTCATTGCCTGAAACTCTTAGGACTCACTGTGCATTAACCAGTTTAGCCTAGTATCCATGTAATAATATATAAATAGTACTGCTGTTTGGTGGAATGTCAAAATTAATGAAGTGTGTGATCCAAACAACTTGGATAAATAAAGCTGTGTTACAGACATATTTATACTGGTTCTGTAAGATTGTATCTGTCTCAGGAATTGCAGTTATAAGCAATCAAAGCCTTGAAAGAAAGATTAGTCATGAACTACAGTAGCTTCTTATTAGCTCATTTCTCATCCTCTTATCTGAAAATGGTAATATCCAAAATCTGGGACAGGAAACACCTCAGTGCCTAAAACATGAATGTGTCTGGTCTTAACACTGTGGTAACAGCTCCATAGGGCAAATCAGTATTTGCTGTTACATTTGTAATTTAGAATAAACATTGCTAAAAAGGAATTGGTAGAAAAGATGGCTATGCTTAGAATGGACAGCTGTAAAAGGAAATGAAGCCGCCAGAAACTGTGGTGGCTAGACATCACCAAAGCCAACATCGGCAAGAGCATAAAACAACTGAAAGAAGTTTTACAAGATCATAAAATGTGAAGAATGGGCCCATAGAATCACCAAGAATCAGACACAATTGAATGGATATCATTATAAAGTGTTGCATTATAACTCCATGATGCATCTGGCACCAAAGTTCTTGCTAGCTCACTTATAGGTCTCAGACTGTGCAACATCCTGACTTCATTAGCAGTCTTGATCCACCATTAGGAGTGATGATGCTTGGCTGTGTTTCAAATCCGACTGACTTGTTTGCTACTGCAGCAACTCATCAAATAGAGCATTTTTTTCCTTTTCTTTTTTCCTGAAAACCAAGACAGAGACAGCTCTGACCATTCTTGATATTTTATAGCAGAAGACTTGTGCCAAATTCTAGTTAAAACTGCTTGTGGGGCTGGCTTTATTCCACCAAACCGAATGGCAAGGAGTCAATTTGTATAAATGTAGCATATGGCCAGTCGTCCTCTGCATTATTAAAATGTAGTTGCTTTTTTCTTGTCTGGCAGGCATATAACAGTCCTGCAATATTTTTATTAGGGAAGATGCACCTATAGAATTTCTATGTAATAAAATTGATAAAAGTACAGGCCCTTGAGAGAAAAATATACATAAGAGACATGATGTGAAGTCTTCAAGGATTTTCTGGGCAAATACATAATCTACCCAAGTTATGCAATAATTACCTCACTTTATTCCTAATTTGAGGCAAACAATAATTTTCCCTTTCATTAGTATCATCAAAGAATCATTTATATTAATCCTGTAAGGGAGGGAGGGAAGGAAGGAAGGAACCTTGGCTTATCAATATATCTGAATCAGCCCTGAATTCTAGACACAAAAAGGAAAGTAAGGCTACTGTAATTGTACAAACCTGGTTTGCTTCTTCTGAATTCTGAGTTGGAACCAGTTAACCATTTGTATTTGCTTATAAAATATTTCTTAGGCTGAGAGACACAAACATGATTTCAGGCACAACCTGGGTTTGTATCTATTCTATATTTTCAGAATGGTCAATATGATATAATGATTTTCAAAATCCAAGCCTAAAACTGGTGATCCAGTGTTTTAATAAGGGGCAGGAAAGAGACTTCTTTATGTGTTTAGTTCTGTGAATAAATTATTTAGGAATTCCTGGTGCCCTTTAATTAGTATTTTTTTCTCTTAAGCTAGCTAAGACACACCAACTATTTAGATGAATGTCATTCTGGAAGCGCGCAAAATTTAAAATGGATTGTTTGTTGTTGTTTTTTGAATAGTATTGACTGTGCTGGAATACTGAAACTTAGAAATTCAGACATTGAACTGAGAAAAGGAGAAACTGACATTGGGAGGAAAAATACACGAGTTCGGCTGGTCTTCCGTGTTCATATCCCTCAACCTAATGGGAGAACTCTTTCTTTGCAAGTGTCTTCCAACCCTATTGAATGTTGTAAGTATCCTTTCTTTCTCAGTGTGTTCATGTTTGGAGTTCAAATGGAAGTTCTTCTGTTGCTCTGAATTCCAGAAAAAGAAGCATCTTGTATTCAGAATATTGAATTTCTCTTGGGAAGAGTTAATGGCAAAAATAAACAAACTTTACTGTTCTTCCAAAGAGATCTTGTAATTGGACTAAGGCACAAGTAACTCAGCAATTTCTCCTCAAACCAAATGCTACTAAAATTTACAAATGTTGTTTGCCCAAAGTAGAATATTTAAAAACCTTAAACCCAGGTATGTGTTAGTATAGATTCACATTTTATTTATTGTTGTTTTTTTTAATTTTCATCAGCCCAAAGATCTGCTCAGGAACTGCCTCTGGTTGAAAAGCAGAGCGCTGATAGCTGTCATGTGATGGGTGGGAAGAAAATTATTCTGAGCGGACACAACTTTCTTCAAGATTCTAAAGTGATATTTGTGGAGAAGGCTCCAGGTATTTAAAATACTATCAATGTTTATGCTTAAATTACCAGTGTAAAGATACAGCTGCAGTATTGCACTAGAATAAAGTTTTTTTTTAATCACACTCTCCTATATTGTTATCTAATTCAACTATTTTGTGACATTAGCAGAAAGATCTTGAACATGTGCACTTGGAACTAAATCTCATTGTGTTTCTGTTTTTCTGAAATGCATAAAAGAAAAATAATTTGTTAATATAACTATTCTAAAGGAACAAGCATATGTTTGTAGCTTGAGTACAAGGGTAAGGAAGATTTCAATAAGTCTAACTCACAAATTTAGCTCTGCTACATAAGTCTGATTCCCAGACATACTTTTGCTGGATAGAAATAGGTATCACGCAGAGAGAGAAAAGCTGGTAGAAAAAAGTAGATGAATAGTATTCGTCTAGCAACGTCAGTATGATTTCACACATCTCTCTTGATACCCACCAGGCTCCTGATTCACCTGACTTTATTTATTTAATTAAAAGATTATTTTAATTAATAGAATGGAAAGCTGGCATATGGAAAAAACAATCTAGCTTCCAACAATCTTCATTTTCCAGGAATTTCTTAGAGTCCCAAAGATTCTCCTGGAAAATGAGCATGGTCAGCTGTAGTCAAATGCCTTATTTGGAAGGGTGTTTATCTGTCCCACTCAGGGGTAAGTTAATGGGTGCTTTTCAGCTAGTTCTGGCCCTAGCAAATGTTTGCAAATGGGCACTGCATCAGCCATCTTGTGAGAGAAACCGCAGCACGGTCTCCAAAATTTAAATTTACCATCCCACCTCAAATTGGGGGTCCTTGATCTGGGGTTATGAGATCTAGCCATTAATATGATATCTTTAAGTAAATAGTTGAATTGAAAATCTAATTTGTATATCTTTTATAAAATCAATCTGAAGGCCAAATAGTAGATCATTAATGGGAACATTTAGCATTTTTATTGCTTCATCAAAACACTATCATAAGGGAGTTGTGCACTGACCTAAAGCAATGGTATAAGAGGTTTATACCATTTAGCCCATGCTTTTGCTGCTTTGTTCTAAATCTGTAAAATCCAGATTTGGATGCTGAGGAATTTTTACAGAATTAAATTCTTTTTAAATTTTAAGAACCTAATATTGTACAGATATTATGCAATGACAGATAGGACTGGTTTAAACAGCAAAATTATATACTGTATTAAATCCAATAATACAATTCCAGTCTCTGCAGAGAAACTATATATTAGAGCCACAAAAATAGAATCATTATTTGTGCATATGTAGCTATTGCAAATAAAATATACTTTATGAATAAATTGAAGTCTCAATTGCCAGGTTAAAGTAAATGAAAAACCAAATACCTCACTTAGCCAGGAATATAAGGAGAGCCAGCAGGAGATACAGAACATTATCCTTAGAATTAAAGTGTGTGTGTGTTTTTGTGATAGGGGAGAGAAGAATTTTGTCAACCATTATAGAAAGCAAAACAGATTTAATAAAGGCACCACAATACAAAATCACTTATAATCTATCCCTGGAAAGATTGTGTTCATTATATTATAAAGCTTATGTGCTCTCTATGTAATTATACATTCTTTTATATAATTTAATAAACATATATTTGGAGAATTCATAACAAACCACCTTATTGTGTAGATTATCTACAAACAAACTCCTGATTAGAAAGAATTTCCATCCTAGACTCTGTAAATATTTTCATTCAAATTCTCTTTTTTTAAGTAGAGAATATGGATTTGTTTCTTGTGTTACATATCGTTTTGTTTTTTATTATATTCCTATTTATTTTAATCTATGGAAATCTGTAAAAGTATTTAAACAGTTAGCAAAGTCCACTGATGACAGCAAGTAAATCTCAAAAATTATTTTCCCTCAACAATAAAAAAGAAAATAAATATTATTATAATTGTAATCAGAATAGAGCTGCAAGAAGACCTTGGAGGTCTTCTGATCCAACCCCCTGCTCAAGCAGGAGACCCTATACCAGGGGTCTTCAAACTTGGCCCTTTTATGATTTGTGGACTTCAACTCCCAGAATTCCTCAGCCAGCGTGCATGACTGAGGAATTCTGGGAGTTAAAGTCCACAAGTCATAAAAGGGCCAAGTTTGAAGATCCCTGCCCTATACCATTTCAGACATGTCGATGTCCAGTCTTTTCTTAAAAACCTCCAGTGATGAAGCACCTACAACTTCTGAAGGCAAGCTGTTTCACTGGTTCAATGTCCTCACTGTTAGGAAGTTAGACAAAATGTTATTAAATATTCATTTGAGATGGCTAAGTTACACCAAAAGTCTGGCTAGAAGTGGAGTGCAAAGACATATATTTCCAGGGACAAATTACACCAATTTTTGCCTGGCTTTTTCTAATCTGAATTTCCCCTTCTGAAAGACTCTGTTTTCATTTGCAAGGATCTGAAAACACCTTGACGCTTTTCAGGATCATTTCAGTCTGCTATTTTAGAATCAAACTGTTAGAAGAATTGGGAGTTGACTAAAGATAATGCAGGCAAAGAGGAGCTAAAAAAAAGGCTGATAGATAAATGGGGTAGTGGGGTGCATAAAAAGCCAGGGTCAATGAAGGCAACAATGAAAGAGGAGGAGCATTTGTTTTTTAAGCTTTCTTGTTTTGGAAAGAGTTTCAGTGGTCCTGGCACAAATGAGGCATTCTACAGCTGTTTACTGAATCCCCTGAACTTCAAGCTGTCTGCTGAAATGCTCAAATTTTTCACTTCTCCCAGTCTTTCTCAGAAGCTTTTGATAATTAGGACCATTTCACCTTCAGCATTCCTTGTGTTCCAAAGTGATTGCAGTACCACACTGAAGCCTGATTGTCCTTAACTGTGCAGTCTGTTAGAAGGACGTGCCTTTTGCTGAGTAAGGCAGTCTTTTCTACTGTCAGATGGAGCTACAGTATTTGGAGATGCAAGCTGACTGAGGCAGACCAATGCCCCCTCATGCTTTCTTATATTATTTTTTCACCCAAGTACAGATAATGAATAAAGATAACCCAAGAGGGCATCTTCAGTTGTGAAGTCAACGGAGAGAGTTATATGGAAAAGAAGAGCAGAAAGGGGCAGACTGAAATGTGTCTGGACATTTCCAGATTCTTCTCTATCTATTTAATCGGGGAGTGTAACAGATTGATTGGAAGAAAAGCATTGGAGCAGCGTTTTGATAGAACAAATTATTTTTATTTCTTTGATTGATTGTTAAAGCTACCCACCAATTTGTCAAAAATATTAAGAAATAGCTATGTTTGGCAGTAATCTTTATCTTGTTTGGACTACAAATCTCCACCCAGCATAGTTATAGGGGATGGAGTTCTGAAAGTATAGCTTCATCAAAACTTTAAAGATTTCTTTATTAAGAATATTTGATCCAGATCATGAGATGTTCCTATAGAAAATTTCCATCAGATAGTAAAAATAATGGCCTAGTGTATAATCTGATAGCTAACCATATCGTATTGTAATTTAAACTACAGTAATTGGTAGCAAACCAACTCAACTAAACAAAATTGTGGTTTCTTTTGTATAATCTAAATAATGAACCAGTTATAATATGTATAACAATGTAATTCTATATTTCAATATTTCTACCTATTAAAAAGCCATAGTTCTTTAATGGGACAGGTTGCTATGCATAGGAAATAATACAGTTTAATACATCCTTTTTTTAAATCTTGAGATGTCTGACAAATAGGCCGGGCTTTTCTTTCTTTTGTGAGTTTAGTGATGGCATTGCTAATGACTTCTTTTTAAAGTGATTAAGTTATATTTGATTTACATTTGGTTTGCTAAATTGGTATCGGTGTCTAAGTTGTAGTTTTTCTTAATGTGATTTCTAAAAATGATACTGATTGGTTATGCAGACCACCCTAGTTATTTGTAATTGGCTGAACATTATTTTGTGCTGAAGTCTTGAACTATGCCTGCCGTTTTGGGCTATCTTTCAGCTGCTGTGATCTCCTGAGAAATGGCATTATTCTTGCAAAGAAAGAGAAAAGGGAAGGGTTGGCCTGCCTTAACAATGACTCATATGAAAGGGAATCCCTGAAGAATGATCAAGTCCATTCTTGAACTTGAAGTCAACAGCAGAGACGTGCTTTCAGTTTAACTCCTTAAATACAGTTTTTTGGCAGACAAGTAGGAGATCCAGGAACATTAACATTGCCTATGGTGTTCTGTGTCTCTTACTTGAAATGGAATGACTAGGCAATAGTATTTGTTGCTTAATATTTTTTTTAGCTAAAATGGGTATCAGAATAAAGGGACATATGACACAAAGGGGCTCATCCAAATTAATTAAACCAAATTAATTTCTAAGTGATGGTGGTGGAGGAAAATTGCTATCTGCAAGAGACGCAGCTTCTCTTCAGAAGCATGCTGTCATCTCCAGAGACATGCTATAGTGTTGTTGAAAGAATTATGGTGTTGATATTTATTGCTTGTGTATGGAGCTATTTTTCCAGGGATGAAATTCAATATTAAATATGCATTCAAGAACTTGATCGCCCAGTTGTAAAGAGAGCAAATGAGAAAGTGTCTGTTCTGTTCTAAAGGTTCAGCTTTCTTAAAATGTTATTTTATTTCCAGAAATGATTTCAGCAGCTAATCGGATTTCCATGAGTTTTTATTTGGTGCTATTGTTCAGTTTACATCACTATTTTAATTTAGAGTAAATTTGTGTGACTTTCAGAAGAAATAATGAGTTGAATATTAATCTAATTTATTTTCCAATTTAAGTACCCACAACTATAAACTACTAAAACTCGTGTGGCTGTTTGTAATCCTCAGTTGGCAAAATTGGAATGTGTAGGGCAAAATTACTGAATAAAGATAACTTGGTCATTCTCTGTTTAAGGATCACCGAAAAGGATGAAATGATAGGTTATGGGTGGTCTAATATTTGCTAAGAACCATGTTACAGAATCAATTCATGCAATGGAAAGCACTTACTTTCTAGTCTCCTGACATGGTTTATGC